GTTAAATGGGAGAATAAATTTGCGGACAAATATTTTAGACTTATTTTGATGTAGACAGCTCTCGTTTAATTATTTTACACCATTACAAGTTGTTAAATTGAGAGAATAAATGTATGGACTAATATTTGAGACTTATTTTGGTGTAAACAACTCGCGTTTGATTAATTCCCACAATTACAAGTTGTTAAATTGAGAGACTAAATGTGTGGACAAATATTTTAGACTTATTTTGGTGTAGACAGTTCTCGTTTAATTATTTTACACCATTACAAGTTGTTAAATTGAGAGAATAAATGTATGGACTAATATTTGAGACTTATTTTGGTGTAAACAACTCGCGTTTAATTAATTCTCACAATTACAAGTTGTTAAATTGAGAGACTAAATGTGTGGACAAATATTTTAGACTTATTTTGGTTTAGAAAAGTCACATTTAATTTACTTCCACAAATTACAAATTGTTAAAGTGGGAGAATAAATGTGTGGACAAGTATTTGAAACTTATTTTGGTGTAGACAACTCTCATTTGATTAATTCCAACAATTACCGGTACAAGTACTTAAATTGGACAAATATTGACCATTATATTTGTGAGTAAATACCTGTTGTTTCATTAATTTCCACCTCTACAAGGTTGTTAAATTGAGAGAATAAATGTGTCGACAAATATTTGATACTTATTTAGGTGTAAGAACTCGTGTTTGACCAACTTCCACCATTGCAAGTTGTTAAAATAATGAAATAAATATACTGGTATCATTGGATTTTTGATTTAATTGTGAAACTTTCTAACAAAATGTTAACTGCTGGCTTCGAACCCTCAATCAACAATTCCGCAGACACAGTATAAATTCAACACACACAGAAGATATTCGTCTGTTGCCTGAATTGTTTTCGTAATATAGGGAACGCCATCGACACTTTAACAAAACTTACCTTGACTTGGGTCTTGTTTATCTCTTGTCACAATCTGGAAACTGTTGAACAAATTGCGCGTCGTCCAGTTTAAGACGTTAATTATTTTATTATTTATTCATTCATTCAGTTTTGTATGGTGGAGTTTTGTGAGGTTTATTATTTGTTTGCGACGTTCTTTGTTTACTTGTTTACGGTTTGAGAGATTTCAGTTTATTTGATTTACGTTTTTACGGTAGCTCTGAGCGGGACTCGAACCCACTGTCTTTTCAAGCTAATTTTGTTTTATTTTGATGGCACGCTTGTGTACCACGCCACGACGTTGGTCGTTAAGTGGTGTTCATTTTTCTAACTACTCCAGTGTTCCGATGAGTTGAACGGAAAAGCCAAAACGATTGCTGGTTTCTGATTGCTTCGGTTCTGGTGAGTGTGTATCTAGTGTGATTCGAACCATGTCGTTTGTATTGGGCGTTTTTTTATTTCCCATGTTAGCTACGCCGTAATATGCAACCACTTCCCCGTTTTATTGTGATTTTGAGTGTTTAATGATGTCTTCCTCACCCGTCACGCCATGACCCAGTTTCAACCACACGGCCATTTTGCAACACAGTTCGTGACCCTCGGCGTCACCCGACTGACTATATGAGCGTTCTTTTCAACTGTTAAGCTAGGATTTATTACCGTTATTATCATTATATTGTCACGTGATTTGTTTTACCTTATGTGTTAATGTCTTAAGTATCTTTATTGTAATTTGTATATACCAATTCGTATATACCGAGGAAACGACCCCGATTGAAGGTCATGTATTTTATGACGTCACCAATTCGTGTGTAGGTACTGCTTCTAGATCTGTGCCAAATACATTGTTTATTCACATGAAATTCGAACACGCGCTGCGCGACGACCACCGCGCTTTAAGTCTTGTTGGGTTGCAAAAAAGGAATACAAGAGAAGTGGACCTGTTTATAAGTAGACCCACAGTCCCTCTATGGTGGACCCATGAGAGAAGTGGGCCAGTCGGAAGTGGACTTATCACTATATATTCGTTGTCCATTGAAATTACATTTTTTTAAAAATTTTATTATTTAATATAACTGAAGACTTAAAACTTTTAAACCCCAACCCAACAAAGCTACTGTGCAGCTACATAAAATGGGTCAATTTTGTGGTTAGAAAATAATCAGAATAATTACTAAATTAAATTATTAATTACAGATTATTTTAATAATTTAAAAATTTGAATAGCCAAAAGTAACAATGACCTGTCAAATGTTGTATCATTGCAGTATCACAAGCACAGTTTAGCTTAGCCTGACAGGTTGTGTGAGTTGCGTCCTCTGCAGTGCTCCAAACCAA